CCCATACACCAGCTCTCTCTGGCCTAAGGTTTATGAATTACTGGTTCTCACAGAACTTGTGTGTGTGTGTACGCACACGTGCACCCCAAAACCTGGGAATGAATCTAAGAACTAGTCTTGGTTTCACTCATTTTGTTTTTTACATGGATTTTTTACTCTGATGTGTTAGTTCCTCTTGTACTAAGTTTGGGTCTCATTTGGTCTTTTCTTCTTTAGTTTCTTTTTTTAAAAAAAATGGATTTTATTGATTTTTTACAGAGAGGAAAGGAGAGAGATAGAGAGTTAGCTCTATCCACTGAGCCAAACTGGTTTTGACTTCTTCTTTAGTTTCTTAAGGTGGAATCTGAAGTCACTGGTTTGAGAAATGGTTTCTTTTCTTTTTCTTTTTTTAAATATATTTTACTGATTTCTTACAGAGAGGAAGGGAGAGAGAGTCAGAAACATCGATGAGAGAGGAACATCGATCAGCTGCCTCCTGCACATCTCCCACTGGGGATGTGCCCGCAACCAAGGTACATGCCCTTGACCGGAATCGAACCTGGGACCCTTCAGTCCGCAGGCCGACGCTCTATCCACTGAGCCAAACCGGTTTCGGCAAGAAATGGTTTCTTTTTGATGTTGGCCTTTCCTTCCTGCTATGGATCTCCCCTGAGCACCGTGTGAGCCAAACCCCACATTTTTAAAGTTTCAGTTTAAAACCCTAATTTGCACACTGGTCTCTCCTTTCACTGGAGTTAGAAGTGGTTCCTAAGTGTTCGAGGAGAGTCAAGGGCTTTTGGCCAACGACTCTCATTCCATGCAGCTGCGGTCAAAGAAATGTGTTATAGGAAGTGAATCCTTTAGAATTTGACTCGTTTTACGACCCAGAACGTGGCCCATCTTGGCCAAGGTCCCCCATGAACTTGCTGGGCAACCTGGTTCCTCGCTCACCACCTCCTGCTGCCCATCGCGGAGCGGGGTTCGGGGGGGACCAGCCTCGCCCGTTCCTTCCGGCCGTTCCCTTCTGCTCCCCTGAACGCAGAGGCAGAGGTTCGAGGGACCGGCGTGTCGGACTGTCGCCTCGTTGGGTTCACCGTGGCCTTGTCCCTCATGCACTTTTGCTCTGGAACCTCTGATAGGAAGGTCCCAGCTCCAGAAACCCGCACAGCTCGAGCGTGTTGCACACAAATCAGAACCTCCTTCCCTCTGTGGCTGAGCGACAGCCCATTGCGGAGCCGCCCACCTGCGGACGGACACCGGCTGCTCCCCGCTTGGCTGCTGGGAGAGCGAAGCTGTGGCCGAGCCGTTTCCGGGTCTGTTTGGGCACAAACCAGGGCGGGGTGTGGGCTCGGCGGCAGCTCAGCGCTTCCTTAGGGACACGTCAGCGCCTGGCCCGTCGCTGGGTCCCGGACGTCCTCCTAGAAGCCCAGGTGGACCTGCTCCCCACCTGCCTTTTGTCCCCACCTTGCACCCCTCCCAGAGCCCAACTCTGCAGTTCACCTCGTCAGGCAGGAGCCCCACTCCAGGGCGCCACCTCACCCCTGGCTCAGGGGCTCGCCCTGCCCGTCACCCTCCCTCCAGCCTCCCCTCCGTGCCCGTCAGGAGTGCGGGTGTGGCTGTGAGGGTTTGCCATGTGGGTCTCACCCACACGCAGGGACTTCAAAGAGAGACCCTCTTGGAGGGCAGGACGCCTCCACACGTGCCCTGGGGCGCAGACCCGTGGTCTCACTTCTGGCAAAAGGTGCGGGGGTTCCCACAACTGCTGCCTGCCACTCCTAACGGCTGTGTGCCCCGC